TGGCTTGGGTTTTTTTTTTTGTAAATCAAACCACATGGACCAGGCACAACTAATATTCAGGAGGCAGTGTGTAGCTAAAACTTCACTAACTTTTTGTCATCCCCACAATTTATTTTCCTCTGTCCTGAGGTAGTTACAAAAAACAAATCATAAATTAAGCATCAGCTAGGCCAGTAAGAGCTGAGGCTTTTCTTTTTTTTTTTTTTTTTTATTTAAAAACTATTTGTTAACTGGCCAAAACTACCCTTGATGTTAAAAGACAGCTGAGAATTAGAGTTCTCACTACACCAAAAAGATGGCTATGAGGGGAAGAGGGTTAGCTGCTTCAAAATGTGACAATATATTGAGCCATCAAGCTGGCTGGTCCACTGTTGCATTCCCCATATTACTCTCCTTTACTGTCTATAAAGTCACTGTGTGAAGTACGGAAGGATCCGAGCGCATCATCGTCCTTTACTGTAACCAGGGAAGAACTGGTCCAGTAGTGTCTGCAGTATCTTGTTGGGAACCATGGTGTAGCCCTTTCCCAGGTCATAGCGGCAGGCAGGGCAAGTGAAGACTTCAGCTCTGAAGGAGCGCTGTAAACAACTCTAGGACATACAAAGGCAGAGAAGTAAATTGTGAGAACTTTGGTTTAGACAGATAGCTTAACCAACAAAAACTAAGGACTCACTGTAAACCAAAGACGCAATCTGCTGTACTACCAGAAAAAAAACATTACTAAGCCTTCTGGTGCCTGCCTCTGCCTCTATGGCTAAAACATACTAACACAGGAACTCTGCACTGGGCTGGGACGTAAAATACTGAGCTTGGGAGGAGATAAAAAAAGTCACTACTGAGATTTCCCCTTCATTTCCACTAGTGCCTTCCTGTGAATCTCAGCCATGTCTGCAGCTTCCTTCTAGCTTCCCAGTTAAGATTGCTACCATTTTGCAGACCTTCCTTTCAAGAGGAAGGTGAGTATACCAGGTATATTGTTCATGTAACAACCTCCATCTACCTCATTGGATGAGATTCAGTTAAGCCTTAAAGATATACGTAGAATAATACAATCTCTAACACATTAGCATCAGTGCTGCCCTCCTTACCATGTTACCACAGGCTACAGATAGACCAAGCATGTCAGCTGAATATCAGAAACTTATCAGGGCATCTCCGTGCCCAAACCACAACAGCAGATAACTACCAAACTATTTCTTACAACTTTAACTGTATGTTATTTTGTATCCACAAATATTTACGGACATCTTCAAATACTGTGCTTTCTGAGACTGTTGCCATTCAGTTTTCTCTTCTCCATGATTTTCCGCTTTCCATAATTTTAAATATTAACCCCTTCACAATACTTTTAATGTTTTTTAAGGAGCCATAATCATTCTACATGTGCAGGCTATCCATTACAACACAGAGATTTTTACTGGAGTGATAAATATCTTCTTGAACAGTGAACTTGCATTATCAAATATCGTACTAGAATGGTAAAGAGTCTGAGTCCTTTTAAGGTCTTAGGCAGAAATACTAGGCGTGGCAGGCACAGTTCAAATATGCACAATTCAACGCATGATTCTATACACACTTGTGGTACAAAAAATAATTCTAGTACAAAATGGATTCTAAACTCCTTACATTATATCCAACTGATCAAGATTTTAAGAGACATGAGTTATAAATTGACTTATGTGGCCCTCCAACCAAACACAAACAAGATAACATAACTTACTCTGAAAAAGCCCAAATTATTTTATTGCATTTGCCTTGCATCCTTTCAACAACTCTTAATAAGGGTGTTATGCAATTATAAAATCTGGTTTTATTCCTTAACTATGTAAAATTATTGTTACTGTACCAACATCTAGCTCCTGGACCAAAGCAATTCCTAGTGTAATTCTACTGATCACAAATGAATGACAGCAATGGGAAACTTTACACACTACATCTACCAGGAACTATACTAAACAAACTTCCACTCTTTATTACATAAAATTAAGGTTACACAGCAATCACTGAATGCAAACTTGTTGCGTGTTTTTGTTCAGAAAGTTAGGCAATAATTATTGTCTTTCTAAAATACATATGGCTTTGGTGACTGGTGTCTTGGAGCCAAGAAAACAGCCCAGAGCAAGACCGAGTTTATTCTTACTTTACAGACGTTGTGGAGGCACTCTGTTGTCACTGGCTGGTAAACCAGCTCCTGGCAGCAGACGCACATGAAGGATTGTTCCAGTTTCTTCAGAAAATTCTAGTGTAGGGCAAATGAATAAAAAAATACAAACTCTATTACAGTTCTCGTAAATTCCACTTACTACGTAAAGATGATGAACGTCCAGAAGTTCTCAAGTCCTCCACATCCCTGAGTGTAGCTTTCTAAAAGTAATCAGGAAGCAGGTCTGTAACTGCTTAACTTCCCTGCTCTTCCACAAATCAGAGAACTAGTGTTTTAAAGATTATTTACTTGCTTGTACAAATATTGTTATAAACAAAATAAAACAGACTGGAAGGCCCCTCATGCCTGGTTCTTAGCATAGGTCAGAAAATTTAGTAATTATGTTTAGTAACTGCTGATAGAAATTTGCATGCCCCTGAAAGATCTCTGCTTCTCTGCCAAGGGAACTTCTTCTGCTAAGAAAGCCACATCTGCACCTCCTCCCATGCTTATGGATTATGGCTAGCTTAGTGGCTTTTTCTCTCCTCAGGCCAAATTCTCTGTAGTGTGTGAATCAGCCTCTCCAGTTTTTAAATCTTCTCGGGGCATCTCTGAGGAATCTCAAGATACATTTGTATCAGGTGTTTTATACACACAAGCATGCTTATCTCTGGCACGTCAGTGATCTCCACACATCTCAAGAATACAAGCCTGGGTACAGATCAAAAAAAGCAGATCTACGGGTAATCAATATATGGTTCTTTGTAATAATTTTTAAAAAAACAGATTTCTCTTAAACCACTAGCTAAAATGGAAGGTGGTTGTTTCAAGGAGTAAGATCTGCATTTTCACAACAGCGATGTAAAGCTGCCAGTGATTCTCAGTGCCCTTAGTGGCAACCAAATGGAAATTTTACAGAAATTATGGGTAGGAATTTGTAGAAAAATGACTTCTCAGTAACTCTACAGCTTTTAAATTACTGTTTTCTCCTTTTTGCTAACACATAGCTCTGTTGCCTGTCATGCACAATTTTAAGAGCTGAAATTCCTTCTAGTCATTACAGACACTGGATAGAAAACAGGGAACAGCAAATAACTTTACACTATCAGTTCCTACACAAAGGCAACCGCAGGAGCATTATGGCAAAAAACTAGTACTGTAAGTGGAAGAACAAGGAGTTATAGATGCTTTCTCTGTTACAGAAGCACCATAAATAGCCACTGGTAATTCTCAAATGGACTAATTATGTATGGCTGTTTCTAGATACCCGTTTTCCAAGCAATGGTTTGTTTTTCAGTGAGTTGAGTTTTATCAAGTTATTTTAACTTCCTAGTCCCTTGATTTCTTCCACAAAACAGCTACAATAACTATGAACTTGACATTGTTAGGACTAAATATCAACGAAACACATATTTCAGGAGATATTCCTTTTGTGGACTTTTTTTATCTAGTGTCTATAGTATCTTCCATCTTGAGCTATTCTTGCTATTTTCTTGACATTATTTCCTATCTTACTTGAGGTTCCCTCTCTACAGAGTGGGATAATCTAGATTAGGATGAGAATATTTTCATTTCATATCTAAATTTGAAGATAACTGTTTTTCTATCTTCTTAAACAAAGCAAGCAAGCTGCATTTTCTGTCATAAAACTATTTTCTGTCTAAACAAAAAGTAGTGACTAGCATTATCTTTCTTCATGTCTAATTTCTCGCATCAGAATAGCACAAAAATACATTTAGAATTTCAGAGAAAACATGCTGCCTTCAAAAATGAAAAGAGAAATGAAAAGCCACTTCTAACTTCAAAATGTGTTTTGAGCAAGAAAAGAACTCTGTTATGCAGGGGTAAAATGAGCCATCAATAGCAAATTGCACAAGTGAGGATTATTTTCTTGAAATCAAAGTCTTACAAACAAAAAAAAAAAATGCTAGACATAGTCTGTATTCAGCAAAAGTTCAACAAGCAAATTCAGTTTTAAGAGAGACTCCAGATTTGTCCTAACAGTCTAAAGAAATGGTAAACATTAAATATTATGCATGCAGCAAACATACTGGTCCTTCCTTAAGAGAAGCAAGTACTTCATCCCACAGTTTCTGGTTCATGCAGTCTTCTCTAATCAGCCATTGCTGCTCTTGGGTCAGCTGGAAAGCTTCTCCTTTCCCTCCATCTCCCATCCTCATAGCTTTGGTTGTATTCTTAGGTTCCTCTATACCTGCTTAAGATTATGACCACAGTAACAACAGAGTGTTAGTCTCAACTAATAAAAGGGGAAAACAGAACTGGTTCTAGAAGGCTAAAACATGGATTACACTCATGAAATGTGTCAATCAAATCCCTACTCCAACTCATACTGTTCAGCATTGTTTTGGACTGCAGCACACAGTTGCACAGAAGACTGTTCATTTTCCAACAGAGCTTAAGAGGAAAAAACCCGTAAGAGCAGTACATACGATAAGATCTCTACACTTCTACTTAATTACAGAGTATGTGCTTATCAATTTACATTAGTATTGCAAATAACTTCACGCTTCTGTAAAGTTTTCATGCTGCTGGCTTAATAAATGTTACATGGCAGACTTTGCTGATGAATGCTAAAAAGCAGAAAGAAATACCATCATCAATTGTCCTTTTCTGGTTTCCGTTACTCTGGCTGGTTGGCTCCTGTTTCACAGTTTGCTTTTTAACCTTATCTTTCTTCTCCTTACTAGCCATGGCTTCCAAATAACCTTCTGGATACTAAAATAAAAAAGCACAGATTTAAAACAAAAGCCACTGGCATACAGGAATTCCCAAATACCAGCAAGACTTATTTCTAACTCCTCAGTCACATGAAGAGAAAAACACAGTAAAATTCACAGGTTTTTCTATTTCTCAGACAGACTCAGCTATAACAACATTTGCTTGTAGAAATTATTTCTGCCCTAAGGATCACAAAACCGGATTAAAAATTTTCCCATCCATATAGGTAAAGCAATTCACTACTAATTCATCCACTGTTCTTTCTGCTGTGTCACTATTACAGGATACTTTAAATCTGCAGATAATCTGTAGTGTGTTTTTGTCATTAAATTCTGGCACAATGAAGTACAAGAAAAAAAAAAAAAAGAGTCTTTCATTTAATGGACTGCTATATCTGGAATTTGTTTACTGAAACTGAGAATTAAAACAATTCTGCAAGCCCTGCTTCGAACCTGTACGCTCAGACCCAGTTTCTTCGACCGCTCCATTCCTTCTGAAGTCCAAGGTGCAGGCTCAACATCATCTCTCCTCAAAAGATAGCGCCAAACTAAAAATCCACATTTTCCAATTTCTGGCCAATATTTCACCACCTAAGGAACAATATAAAATTACCACCATTATTGTATCACAAGCCAAACACATGCATGTAGTAATATTTTAACTGTTCAAGAAGAAATGAGAAGACTAAGTTATACATTACTACCATACAGCAGCTCTTCTCTCAGGTGCAAAATTTTTGTATTTTTGATAAACGCAGTGCTCTTAAAAGGCACACGCCTTTATTTAGATGCTGAGAAGTTATTAAATGCACAAAAATCTACAACATATTTGGAAGAAGCAAGGAAATAATTTGCTTGCCAGGGATGAATATGACTCAGTAAGCACATATAAAGTAGCTTATATATTCAACTTTATATATCCTATTATGGCTTATGTTCTGTTATCACTTCCCTGAATAATTTCATTTCAGTTCTTTGCATAACAAGCTAAGGCTAAAAAGCTATCCTGGAGAAAAAATAATTATTTAAGTAATAACGAAGAATTTGCAATGTAACACACACGAGAATTTTTAAAACAGCTGAAGAAAATGTTAGGCTGCACTCTGCAGAAATCAGAATACCTTGTAAATGCCATCATATCTGTTGCCTTCCTCTGGGGCATATTTGCTGATCCGCCGTCCTTTTGAACTGCGCACTACTCTGACTGGCTTACCAGCTCTCCAATTCTTAGACTCTGCTCCATTTTTGTCATCCAGTGGGGCATCACAGTTAAGGGCCAATGCTCTAGAAAGAGATTTAAGATCTTCATAAACTAGTTTGCTTCACACGACTGATTTTTGAGAATCAATGTAATTAAGTCATATCTATTTCCCTTGTCTAATTATGCTTTATCAAGCAGCATAGAGTTTTTCAGTATATTCTTTAACAACTGCAGAACTGATGGAAGCAATGAGATCCATGCTACCATGGATGGTAAGAAAAAAAGATGGGAGCACAAAATATTGTCAAGGTTCCAGATGAAAACTCAGCTGATATTGCTAAATAAACCAAACCAATCATTTTAGATTTAATATCCTTTTTTTTAAAAAAAAAAAAAAAAAAAGAATCCCTTCCTAAATAGCATTGAGGGACTTAGAAGAAAATCATAACAAAAGGCAAACTTTCCCTATTGCTACTACCCATTAGCCGCAGAGTTTAAGGCTTTTTAAGCATGGACACAAGAGTAATTAATATGATGAAAAGCACCATAGACAAAAAAGTACATAGTAACCATCCAAGAAACTCCAAATAATTGAAATCTCTCACATAATACATAAATTGCCTCTACGTAGGAGTTAAACAATAGTAGCTAACTCAAGGACAGGCAAACTCCTTTATCCACTAACTATATGAAGACCCTCTTCTAGAAACCTGGAACAAGACCTACTAGACCAAGCTGCCATAATGAATGGTATTTCCACTATCACAGCCTGATTTGACCAGGGATTGAAAACCCCTCAGAATAAAACTCAAACTAAACCATGGATCTCAGAACAGAATAAATAATACTGTTTATAAACAACCATAGTATGAGTAAAGAATTCACATTGTACAGAATAGTAAGAGACAGGCATACAATGCTGACTTTAAACATTTTCTTATATAAAAATAAAACTTAAAAAAAGGAAAAATATCTGGATAACCAATACTGATTCGACTACATGGAATCATCACAATCTTCAGCATCAAAGGGCTTGAAAATTTGTATCTAAACCAGTAACTGAGAGCAGCACCTTACACTCCATGTGCACTAACGCCCACAAAGCTAAAAAGCAAGCTTTGCCACTGGATTTCTCATTTGCTAAGAGCAGAGAAATGCTGAGATCAAGGAGTCCACCTTTTAATTCTGTTCGCTCTAGCCACTAAATATACTTGTAAACTTATCGCTTGAAACTACTTCCATCTTCCTTCCCTGCTTCTTCTTCCTCACACCATGTCCCCCCTCTCTCTCCCTCCCTCCCTTTCTCTGCAGCCAAGTCATGCTTCTCCTCTCTCTCCTCTAAGTACCACCAAAAAGCTTGAAAGAACCTGTCTCCACCCTGCTTGACAGCAGCACATCATACCTAAAGGCAGACCTGGCAAAGTCAATCTCAGCATCCCACAGGTATTTAGTAGTCGGTTGTGTAACAGAGATTATGCTCTTAGAAATAGAAAAGGATGGAGAATTCTTTGTCAAGGCAGGCTTTTAGAGGATGTAAAAACACTGTAAGCAGATGTCTAATTCATTTTTGGACATATATCTTCTTTTTCAAGTACTTGTTTTTGATAAAAAACACCCCGATTCCTTGCTTTTCATAGAAAACTATGATGGAAGAAAGGCCTAGCAAAAGAGAAAAGATTTATTTTAACATGGGAAAATGCTTTCTTCCTACTTAAATTTCATAATTGATTTAACCACTGAAGAAAAACTTAAAAAGAAACTCAGAATAGAAAACTTCCACCTAAGAGTTTTGACAAACTTATCATTAAATTCAAACAGAGTCCTCCAAGGGAAATTCTAGGACAATCTCAACCAGAGACATGACTACTAGCTGCACCAGCAATATCAACAATGTGCTTCATTGAGGTACAAGTGTTTTTTAAATCAACAAAACAACGCTTGACAAAATGCATCTTAGCAGCAGGAGGCACCACTGCTAACAAAGGTAGCATGTGTAAGAGTGAATGAATACAGCAAACTGTCAGTCTTAAATGAAAGCACTACAATCCATCTCTTTGTTTTGGAATACTTTTTATCTTCAAAACTTACCTATTCATGTGTGTTAATGTCTGATCAAATGAATGTTCTCCAATCCTTTTATTGCCAGAAAGATCTCTTCCTCCACTCCCAGTGTAAGTGAATTCATCTCCTCGATCCTGTGCAAGAAGATTATCCTTTGTTTTAACACTCCAAAGTAAAGCACCTCAATTTAAAAAAAAAAAAGTTACCTTATTTGTTCTATTTACTCAGACTGAGAAAAACTACACTCCAATGCATGGAAAGATGTGTTTTCAATTTGAGCACCACCATCTTTTTACAGTAGTTGTGCCAGCACAAAGCTACTGTCTGGATGTGACATACGGACCACAAAGTTCTTATTTAAAAATTGCCTGCCTTAAAAAATTGGAGTTTCACATCTTTTAAAAAGCTGTTTTCGAAAATTAAAAAAAAAAATCTGAGGAAGGGAACACATTCTAGTAAGTGCTTACTTGCTCTAGAGCTTTCATTTCGTTTACAAGAATATAATGTTCGTAAAATACATGATAAATACCTTGGAGGGATCACTTCAGCTCATCAAGGGGGCTAAGTGCTAATAAGTACAAACAGCTCTGCCTTACGTACAAGGCAGCTGCTTTAATGCAATAACAATCCCAGCTCTTGTGAACTAGCAAGAGCTTAAAATCTTTTATATTTGTATTTTGTAAGCTGATATAATACTGTAGTATATTTCCTACAGAGAGTTTTCTTTAAATTGAAAGAAGGTTGATATAATCTTTTACCATGAACCATAGAAACAGACAAAATCTACATACACATAAGTAAAGCAAGTATTACTATTTTCTTTAGGAAATGTGTCACAGAAATTTATACTACTCCTGGCAAATTTAAGTATTTTTAGAAAGATACAAATATATTTACTATTATCTTTCTTTGGAGATGCAAATTTTGTACAAAGCATGAAGCCATAGTAGAAGATAAATACTTAATAGAACAATAATTTTTATCTTAATTTTTATAGCAAAAATCTTAACATACTTGTACACAGTAGTAAAATTCAGTCAATTTCTTACCACTATTAAAAGTCTGACATTACTAAGGATCCAGTGCAAGACTGTTATAGATATTTCATGACTGACAACAGCAGAAAAAGAGAAAGTTAGAAAGAGAAATGCTGGTTGAACAAGGCCATAGATTAATTATAGAAATTATGTTTATTTTATTCCGTG